TATTTATGTCTTAGACATTTTTCTGTCGCTTTCACCCTTTCTCCATCTCGGTCACTGGCCATAATTTGATTATGACTGATTCTAATGTAACTTCCTTACCTCTAACGTAGCATAACAACCTCTCTTATGACGTTTTTGAAGCACAGCATTCTTGCTCCATTCGAGGAAAGGGGCAGGGGAAAATGCATGGCTGGCCTGCAGAGATTATTTAAGAGGTAATACGCTGCCTCACGAGGGTATTTTTACTCATGGAAACAAAACCTCTCCAGACAATATGCTTCATTGGATCATTTAATCGATTATCGCCATTATTCCGAGTGATACCAGGCGCAAAATGGGGGACTTCCTGCCCCTTCTTATTAGGATCATATCCAGGAGGATCATCTCTGAAAAATTATGGTCCGACAAGGTCATTATCACAAATGACTATCGCTGGATTTGCTGCCTTGTTCTGACTTTTCCGGGAAGGAAAATGCCACTTACCCGCAACTTACCATAGAAGCTGGGGAGTAAATTAGCTGCACTTATTCCGAAGCGGCGCGAAGCTTCTCTGCAAGTGGGCTGGGTTAAGGAAATCTGCTGCAGCATAGAAAAATGAATCGCCATGTGTGAAATCGGATTAACGGGACTTGGTTGATCATCTGTCGAGTTACGGCGAAGTTGGCTTCAATCCTTGTCTCTGAAACCGCCCCTAATGTCTGGAATGAATTTTCCGTCTCAATACATTCGAGGGGCAGGCAGCTCTTAATTCCATTCCAGAGGCATGCCGATTTGAAACACCTCAACCTGCTTGGAATATGGAGATGAGGTTTTGTAATTGCACATGAATTACGCATGTGCTCTCGTTTCTCTCTGGCCTCACTTGAAGTGTTTTCATGCGTCATTTTCTTGGGAGTCATTGATTATGGAAATGTTAGTGTGAAATGGGAAATTCCGGGGAAATGTCACCCCTTTTAGAATAACTTGCTAAAGGATAGCCTATTGCGAAAGAAAATCGAACCTCGATTGTCTCTTTCTCATTTATTAGCAGCACTTAAGTCATTTCAAGGAAGTAACGTCTTTGCTGAACTATATTTTAAGCCATAAATGAGTGTATGCCGTTACGATAGAAAGAAATTCTGATCAGGAGAGTGGATGACGAAGCGAAAAGGAGATGGCAGATGATTAAGTGCCGAAAACCCTCAAATTGGCACGTACTTAGTTTCGGCGTCCTTTATGGCCGCAGTCCAGTTTTAGGTCCTGCGCATCGACACTAGAGGGCTCTGCCAGAGGAGATCGCTAAAAATCTGCTTGTTTAGGGCCCATAGCTTTCGTAGTCAGCAACAAATCACCACTCAATCGTACAACTAGTTTCCGTCGGAAAGCACGATCTTTGACTGTCGCTGAAAGTATAGGCACTATTAGAACTGGCGTAGGAGGGCAGAAGATTTTCCTTCCTGATCCTTGTAAGAAATTGGCCTTTAAAAAAAACAGCAGGGAGACGAAGAAAAGCACTCGACTCTCATCCAATTTGGGACCTCTTCTTTACCTCATTTCTGCTCTTATTTGGAAGAGAATGGGTACCATTCAGGTCTTCGTGCGCCTTTCCCATTCGTCCTTGAAATCTTCAAATTGAAATATTCTGGTAGACTGAATCGCTGAAATGGATCAAGTGAGGGCAAAAGTGATTGACTCGGGGGGAAGGGGGGGGGGGGGGGGGGGGGGGGGGCGTCTGTTGAATCTTTGGGCGTAGCAATGCCATGCCGCTTAAACGGCGAATTAGTGAGGATGACGCACAGCTGGCGATGTGTCAAGATTTGAATTAGATAACGATTTGAACTAATTACTACAGGAAGTACTCTGATGCGGATGACCCACATGGGTCGAAAGCCCTATTACCGGATCCCCGCGGGATCCTTAACCCTTTGGGGTCCGAGTTTTTCTTTTACCGTCTGCACGTGCCGATCCGAGTTTTTTTTTTCATTCCCTCAAAGGAATAAGAAAAAATGCATGATTGCAACACTCGTACGAATGGGGTTGAGCTTCCAATTTGCCATTCTAAACATTTAAAGCTAGTTTCGTTCTAGATACATCAACTTAGTTTTTAAAAAAATAATAAGATAGGAATGTCAGTGGAAAATTTATTTCAACACTGGAGAAGGTGTGGTAGCGCTCCATGCACTGGTGGACCCATAGGGGCTTGTCGCAAGTGTCGCACATTTAACGCGCTTCTTGCTTCTTCTTCTTCGGGCCCATGCATGAGTGGGTGCACACGTGACACACTCTAGTCTTTCCAAAAAATTATGTCTTCAGTTTCTGATAGGTAGTAGTCAGGGATTGAACTTTTTCGCATATTTTAGCATACTTAATGTACGAAACAGCATGATCTCAGAAGTGTTAGTTAGGGACCAGTTCATCTTCTGGGATACTTCCTTGTAATATTGGTTTGTCTCCTGCACCAACTTTTCGCACAGTTTTGGTGGGAAAAGTTCATTTAAAAAATATTGTTCTTGCAGTACAATTTGACAAAGGATGATTCCACATCTTAAGAAAATCCCAGGAAACGAAGGTCATCATTTGAAGCATTATTCAAGTCAAAATCTAAGTCGGAATGTAGGAAATCTTCAACAATTACCTCTTTTGATAGTTTGCGGCGAGTCATGTAGTCGAGTCATGACTGTAGTTGAGTAGCTGATTAGAAGTTACCACAATACCCCACATGACTAGGATTTGAAATGTGACGTCAGCGCCTGGCAACGTGTCAGGACAGGTGCGGGATAGTAACGAGAAAACGCGAAACGAGATATCTCGGGCGTGGGTCAGAGCAAGGCCACGCGCGAACACGAGATATCTCGGGCGTGGACCCCAAAGGGTTAATAAAGAATAAAATCTATTTGTAGGAGAGGTTCTCCCTTCGTCAAAAGAATTATTCGGTTCCAGATCCGTCATAAGAAGAGGGGTTGTACATGCGGCACCGATAATCGAATCAATTACTCGGTTGCCTCTGAAAGGCAGTCGCTGACGCAGCTCTGACCAAATTGCCAACCTAAAGCCCGTCGAAGCATGTCAGGATATCCTTTTTTTTTACATTTAAAGCACATGATTTTAGATTGTGAACTATGTTCACCACCTTTATCTGAAGATAACTGGAAATGAATTCGGTTTATGTTGTTAATATAGTCTATATATGGGCACACGTCGAGGGAAGGTAAAAGCTTGATTTTTTTTTAAAAAGCAAACTGTTAACATATATATGCGTATTGGCATTGGGCCGAGGGGAAACGGGTGTTTGGAAGAATGTCTCCTGGCCCCGCCCTACCCTTTGCCGCTCCAACACCACCCCGTTAAAAATTTTTTTCCGCTCGTGCTCAAACAAAAAACATGTGTTTGAGAAATGAACTGTGCCGGTCGAGATTCGGGATGTCATTGCATCTTAAGAGATCGTTTGCTTTCTTAACCGTGGAAAAGAAAGAACACGGGTATAAGGTCAACGTGCAAATATGCAGACCTTTATCCGTTAGATGGCGTTCTCTTTTCGTATTGTCGTAATTCGAGTAGGCGATATTAAGAGTTTTCTTACCGGTGAGGAAACAAAAAAGTGATCCCTTAAAGCGTTCATCTATGATATTTCGCTGCGATCTCTGTTGCAAGATGTTATACATGAAGCCTAGTGCATAACACCATGACAATCATTGAATCCGCAATGAAGTCCATAATCGGTTCAGTTCCTAGCCGAGTACGCATGCTGAGAATTTATATTGATCCTGCAATTCGCACGTTCACAGTTGATATATTTGCATCACCCTGCAATTGATGGACGCTCATTCATCCATACCATACCTTTCCAATCGGCCTGCGCTGAGCATCCTATGAGGATGCTGCGTAACTGTGCTCTAATCTGAAGCCGTCTCTCAAAAGGCGACGACTTCAGGTTGGTGGATTTAGTTGGATCTGTATAGTAAAATAGGACATGCTAAAAGGAATAAAAAGAATTCTATGAAAGGAATCATCCATTATGTCTGAAATGATACACTTTGAAGATTGTTACACGGCCTGCAATTCCGCACTTAAAAGTGGCAATTGAAGCCGTTAATCATAGAGATATCATGTGCACCAGCTTTTATACTCAAGTCTCAGTCCGAGCGATTGTCCGAAATGACTGGTAACTACGGCACTTTCTTCCCGGCCTGCAGCTCCCCCAATTTGTGTTTATAGAGTGTTCAGCTGAAGACAGTGACAACTTTGCTACTTCAACGAAATACTGGAAAAGCCAGTATTTTTAAGTCTTAAAGAGATTCGATTTTTCATACTAAATTGAATTTGAGGGGCGTGTGACAGATGTCGACGATTCGCATTACTCCGACGCCTTTCGTTCCACCCGGTCAGTTCAGCTTCATATCATGTAGACTCGAGAGTCTAGAGGGGGAAACGATTGGCATGTCAACCGTGCCATGCCCCGTCATTCTAGACTGAAGGGAATGAAACTCCTTAAAGGACTGGAATATAGGCGAAAGGGTGATGGATCTTATCGATTCCCGAGAGATTGGAGAATCAATCTTCATTAACCCGACTGGAGAGGTTCTATATTGTAGTCGTGTGTGCTCAACCTGCCCTGAATCTCGATCATCTGCCCTTCCCTCTCGGAACTGTGAAGCGAATCGAGTCCATGAATGCAAAATAGTCGGGAGAGTAAACAGAACGCATCCAGCCTTTGGGGAAGAAGAACTAAATAGAACCTTTCTCTATCTCAACTTAACCCTCTACCTGAACGAGCAAGTTTTCCGAGGACCGTGCCATCCGATGTTCCCATGTGGTTTTGTGGTTAAGGGGCTATTTCTGATCCACGACAGTTACCTTCCTACGGGATGAAACTTTCATGAGCTTGTGATTCCTCTCTTCGAAAATGCCTGCCATGCATGAGCTTCGTTTATACTGCATGATTTCCTTTTTCCTCCCTTCTTTCTGCATGCGATTATGCAGCTGGAACAAACGAGGCATCGATGGATGATGAACACCTTCAGGTCTCCGTTCTTTTGCGACCATTGTGGTTCTCTTGTCTATGGTCTTTTCCCACAGGCTTGGAAATGCTCCTGTGAGTCGCTCATCACGTCCCTGCTTGCATGCCTTTTTTGCCCCTGCACAATTTTTTGTCTTTTGGCACATGTATTCTCTGCCGTTTTGTCCGCTTCTTGGCATGAATGTGCCAGAAACCCTGCCTGTGACAGTTGCTTAGAGCGCATTCAAACGTTCTGAATTCATTTATGTTTTTATAAATATCCGATGCAATTGACTTTAAACTCGTAGGTTTACATACGTTGACCCTTGTAATGAACGAGGAGGTTATGTGTGACTCTCATTTTTCTCCGTGGACGGGGGCAGCATGTGACATGAACGTACACAAGCGGTGCGTGGAAAGCGTGCCGAATTTGTGCGGATGCGATCACACGGAGCGTCGTGGGAGGATCGAGCTCAAGATCCGGACCTCCAACAATGGCTCGCGACTCATTGCGGAAAGTGAGTTCCCATCAATCCCGACTTCTCCTTTTTCTGGGTGCGTCCGGTTATTGAGACGTCGCAGCCTCTGCAATGAGGGAAGCGATGGACAGTCTCCACAATAGGAATCTCGGCTCCCTCATCTACGAGAGTCGAGGAGGATCCTACTCGGTGAAACTGAGGAGTCTCACGAAGCCATCTCTCTAACCTGACGCACCCTCCATCTCGTGCTACGATGGCCTTGTATCTCCAACCGGCCGTATACGCCATATAAGCATAAGGCCTCGGCCTTCATGTTCTCTCCCAGCAAGGTCGATGGAAAATGCCCATGCAATTAACCTCTATGCCGCCTCTGACACCACCATAGTGCCGTCGGTAGGGCATAATTATAGGCAGAATTGTATCGGATCGATCCACCTTTCTACCTTGCGTGATATTTATTCCTTGTCTCAGAGGCTCTGCTTCTTTGTACACAGCACAGTACTCCTGCTTTCTCGGCGTCGCGTCGACTCGTTGCTGTAATATGAAGCTAGTGCCGTAATGTGCTAGGGTTTCGCGTCTGAATAAACCCAGCTATGCCTCGTATCCTGGAGTTAACCGCATATCCGCGGGGCGTGACTTGGCGTCAGTTCGGTCGCTTGGCCTCCTGTGAAAACTCTGGCAATGTTGGCCATAGAAGGTGCTTTATGAGGGGGAAGAAAGAAGAGGCCATTCGATTTCATGGCCAGTGAACGAGACATTTCCAGAAGGAGGGTGGGGAGGGGACCTCCCGTTGTTCTTGCGCGAGGAATGAGGAAAGAAAAGTGCCTTGCTGGATCCCTCCTAGGGAAACCTCTTCTCTTTCTGTCTATAGCTTCTCGTATATTGCGTTGGGCCTACATGTGACTCTGTTCCCAGTCTCCCCCCCTCCCTCCACCCCTCAATCCCCCTCAGCTCTAGAACCCGCTTAAGCCAAGGAACTCGAGACTCTTCGGGAGAAAAAACTGCTACCAGTCTGACAGTTGACCTTGTTTCACGTCTCACATAGAAAGGGAGCCACTAGAATGTACTCGATGAAGATTTATTTTCGTTTTGCTAAGCGCGAGACTTCGTCATAAGCCTGTGGTGAAGGTGCCTTTATGGCGAGTAGCATTTACTAGGCTTCTCAAATGGAAAAATCTGCAATCGGATTTCCAAATGTTACATACAAATGTAACACTTGTTTGTTTGTAACGCACCCTGTACACACGTTTTGGGTGGATAATCCGCGTATCTTCGATCTGCTACAGATCCCCGAGAATGGGAGTTGCGTTGCGCCTCATACACTTGGTAACTCCAGCGAGGGGAACACAATCAACTCCGAGTGTTTAAAACGAATCTCTTGAGCTGTAAGCTCCAATCAGCTTTCGAGCTGATTTCGGGACCTATGAGAAATAATAGGTTTAATATATCCCTTCTCCCCGCCTCCGCTCCAAAAGAGGGCGATGTCCTTTCATGTGATTGCACCTAGTGGGCAATTAACCCTTCAAACGGGGAATTTCGCGGCTGGATTTCTACCCTATTTAGGTATAATTTCTTCATGAGTGATAAATGTTTCAGGTTCAGCTCCCATTGATTCACGACTTCAAATGCACGAAAATCATGAACATATGTTTCATATTTTCAGTTCAGACTTAGACAAAGCAGATATTAACTACGCCTTCCAAAATTTTAATCATCAACCCAGAGCCCGGGAAATGTGGATCATCGCATTGAGATGCAGACATTCGTGTTCGATCCGATCGAAACCATGCGATTCCTGGAAACCAAAAGGTATTCATCTATATCCACAGAATACCCGCAGAAAGCCAAGTGGCGTGGCCGCGGTCAAGCCAAGGCTTTTCCTTTGACTCGTTGAAAAGCTTTTGTGGGATTCAGAATGAATAAGTAATCTCTATGCCAGGTCCGTTATTAAGTTCTCTGCCTCACCCATAAACCAAGCACGCACAGATTTTATTTTGCCATCAATCTTCAATATATTGACAGTCACGCTCAATGACACTCCCAACGACCACGCAACATTCTAATACCCGAAAAATATTCTTGCTGTCAAATCATTCCTGCACAATCGAATTCAGCTCATCTTCCTCGCCCAAATTCCTCTCTCGAAGGTCTTTTTTCAAATTTGCCAACTTTTTTTAAAAGATTTGCTTAAGTCATTTCTGGACTGTAAGCTGTGTATATGACTCCGACCGACTTTTGTCTGTTCTCAAATCTGAAAAAAGACCTTCGAGAAAGGTGTTTTGGTGACGAAGATGAGCTGAATTCAATTGTGCAAGAATGGTTATATCTATATGGTGCAAGAATACATTTTTTTACCGTTCAGGCATTGGAATGTTGCGTGGTCGTTGGGAATCTCATTGAGCGTGATTGTCAATATATTGAAGATTGCTAATAAAATAAAAATTTGTGCTTGCTTGGCATGTGGGTGAGGCCGAGAATTTATTGACAGGCCTGGTAGCATTATCCTGCACTGAATGAGTTAGAATTTCACTGTTTATACTGTCTGCCATCAGTGCACTGGAAATAGCTAGTGTTTCAGAGAAAATCGGATTCAATGCGAAATGCATTTTGTGGAACGCATGCGCATAATGCACAGAATTATGTGCTCCATAAGATCGGTGCACATCATTTCGTATCCAGACAAGTGGGCACATCACAAAAAGGGCGTCAGAATACATGGTCCAACGCGACAGAAGATATGAAGGACATTCGTTGCTCTGGCATGTGGTCTAATCGCCTTCCGGGTTTATCGTCATTCTTCTTTAGATTTTCATGGCCATATGTAGTGCACATGGAAAACGGGTTCACGAGGAGAAAAAAAAGATTTATTCGTCTGTAACATCGCCCGGGAAAGGAGAGGAATCCGAGCAGAATATTTTATTAGATCAGCAGAGGGGAATGTAAAATAGAGATGCTGTCACTTCATTCCTCGATTCTTTGTCTGCATCTTTCTGTATAGTCCGCAGTGGCCTTGAAGATATTACAATGAAAAACCCCTCCCGCTCAAAGACGAATAAATTACCCCACATTTATTTTGTTTCACGGGTATTCACATCTAGCTGCAGTGAAAGCTTTACGTTGTAGGGGTTTGGTGAAAGGTGTTCTCGTGCAGCGGCTGAGCGTAAGAAATGAAACAAGGAACCGCCTGGGGTCCAAACATGTCACGAACCTGGTGTTGCTGAAATCACAACGTGCTATATTACAAAGAAATCGCATCCCCATATATTTATTCCCCTCCAGGATGTGCAAAGACTCAAGCAAAGACTGCAAGGGAATTTAATAGGTAAACGACTAAAGACAATGTGCGAACGAAAGTTCAAAAGGACTCCAGGACGCAAAGAAATTGCTTGAGATTACGAAGGCTCAAGCAAAGACGATGCTATATCACTATATATCTATAATCGATTCGATGCTATATCTCTGTGCAATCCTCCTCACATTCCAATGTTAACTATGCCGTTGGGAGCAGTTTTTTGAGCAAACTAACATTAATATAGTGCATTTTTGGAATTCTTCGTTGAAGTAGTCGCATTGTGGCAATGACTCGATGTCACTGAAGAAGTTTTGACGTCTTAAAGCATCATGAGGCCTTTTGTCACGGATCTTCAGAGGACGCCTTCATATGAAGAGAATGGAGGCTAGATTCAGCCGGCGTAAGCATGTTTATTGAAACACATTCCTACTGAATATTACCAGGCATTTGTGCTGAAAATAACTGTTTCCGAACACGCAACAAGGTGACAATAAGTCTGCAGATGCGGTTTGTTGAGTCTTGGTCTGGAGAATAGCAAGGAACGTGTATATACATGGTTAATCTAATTTGCTTGGAACCTAATCACTAAAGGCTTGAGAGGTTAAAGAGACATTTTACTACAGGAAGGCGCATTTTCCCCACCCTACAATGTTCCTCTTCTATGAGCAGAAGAAAAATTCGTCTGCCTCTATTGTCTCTCTTTTACGCATCCCGGGAAAACTCTCATATCGATCAGTTTGACAGATCTCATCTTGGGGATGTAGGCCCACGCAATCCTATACTGTACTAATACAGACGAGACTTTTATAACTTAGATGTACGAGTAGAGTCTTAAAAAAAACGCTCTATCCTTTTTCTATGTGGAAATAGCAATCCCTTTCCTAGATGGCATTACGTCCAGCCTGGGCTCTGCTAGTGGGATTTCATCATTTTTGGGAAGTTGTTAAATTTGCAATGTTTTATCCATTTTCTTAATACTAAAAAAAATCGCCACGAATGAGATCGAATCCCATTGACCTCAACCTATCCGACTTTACCTCTGTCCGTCACTTCTTCAGAAACCATTTGTCCTAGACACAGTAGATATTCTTGGTACCTCTTACAGTAAAAGAAGTTTTGCTGTGATTTAGCGGTGGTATTTCTATATTCTTTGCTTCAGCATGGGACCAGAGTGCAATTCAGCACCATAAGGGAGATCATCTTGGAGTTGCATTAAAATTGCCCTACTTTCTAAGGTTCTACTTCGCCTAAAAATACCCGAATCTGACCTTTAATGAGGTTATAATTTAATTGAATCTCTATTCCGTTGAAATGACATTAACCCCTCAAGCGTGTGCGACGTCATATGCCGTTCTCGCGCTGGAGATGCTGCTGCCTCCCAGGAGAAACATGCTTGAGGGGTTAATCAGGATAATTAGGATAATAATCAGGATCGGTCTTTGGGATACTGAACTCAACTCCGCTCAGATTGAATTGAATGAAATGAACTCGAACTGAAAGGAATCTTTCGAATCCGTTAATGTGTCTCGCGATATTTCGTGTCAAATTCGTGTAATTCGCATCTGAGTCGAACCAATCGTTATTCTTGAGAGGCGAATATGGAACCAAAAGACAAATACCGTATTTTGTCGATGATTCACAGCTGAAATCAAACTGCGAGTCTGATTGGGCCTTTTTCTGCTCTATTCACCAGATTCACCTTTAAGAAAGAAGGCAGCAGCCAGGCTGAAGCCCGGTCTGAATTTCTTATAGAAAAGAGATTTATACTATGTATATCCCCATAGGGAATAAGTGCAGCGTTTATTTTGAAACATCCTATGGAACAATTCGTCTAGAATATTCGTTAATTTTAGCTATTTTATTTGGCTGCTCAGAACAGGCACAACGTATGTATCAGAGGTCCAAGCGTCTTTGTGTGTTCGGATTTGAGTCATTCAACCTCAAGTGTGGCAATGGTCTGTGCTCAATTCTGTGCCTATATCACCATTCATGCACGAGACATTGAGAATATCAATCCGGATTTAAGAATTTCAAGTAGTCTAAATTTTCGGCATCTACATCAAACGATAGCCAAGATAGGGGTCTAAAATTATGCCGTGGAGCAAATAAATATGATCCTACAACCTTCAAATTTTTTTATTTTGTGTCCTGGAGAATTTCTGAATGGCTCAAATTAAAACTGAAGGAAAGAGGAAATTAAAAATGCCAATGCATTTAATTGTTTTGTGTGAAATATTTTGGTCTCAAAGTGATAAAATATATATTTTTTGAAAATGAAACATTGAAAATTATTAAATAAAAGTATGAATTATGAATAACTTCCAATTATGTTTGTTTGCTTTTTTTTCGCGAATATGAGCCATCCGCAACTATTTAGGATTATCATCTGAAAGTGAACAAAATATTATACAGTCGAACTCGGTTATAACGAAACCTCGGTTATAACGACGAAAAGCGCCAGGTCCCAGTGTAGAGCCCATTAATTATTAAGGTGTTTATTAAGGCCACTCACATCGAATCTTGTTAAGACATAGGTAACAAATCAGATTGAATGGTCACGTATTCCTCGAGTTTTCTTATGGGCCCTTTTATGCGCTTCATATGAGAAGAAGCGTGCTGGTCCCTTGAGGAAGTAATTAGTGTCGTTACATGATCGTGTTCGCGCAGGATTGACTGATGCCCCCCTGAATCCAAGAGCGGGGCTGTTATGGCCTTTTTTCTGCCAAGTAAAGATTTGATTGATTGTGTCGTTAGCAAGGCACGAAATGCCCATCCTCCTTTGAAGTTAGAAAGTATAGGAGGCTTTATATCGGCGATTTCGTCCAGGACTTGGACGCCCCAACCAGGGCCCAAAATGCCCACGAAAGAGCATTTAGTGCAAAAATATGGCAGCTATACCTTCTGCTCCTCCATGCAGAAAGCAATCGAGAAGAGAATGGAAGCCGGAAGCCCTTTAAGAGACCACTCTGAATCGGTCCATGAAAATACGAAAGAAAGGAACCAAGAAGAGAAGGTCCGAGGTGCAGAGAAAATAGTGAAGGGAGAAGAAGATAAGGGGTAAGGAGACGCGGAAAGCGATGACACTATTATCGGCTGGCCCAGGCCTTGACCATCCTTTTCATTACGTCCTTCATCTCAATGGACCAGACAACGTCGCTTCATCATTCTTTGTCTTCCCTGCCTTGCATCGAAGGTCAGGCAGACGTATTTGACCATCAAGGCTATCTGGCCTTAAACAGTAGGAACGCGAAACTTTGGCATCAAAATTTCGCATCCTCTTACGGCCCAACGTGCTTGCCGTTTTGATGGAATAATTGATTTTGCAGGGGACAGCAGCCGTTGTTCTATCATGTTTGCTCTTCGAATGTCATTAGTGGAGGATGGCACAAAAGAATTGAGTCGTCGTCGTATTGGGAAAGGAGTTATTACCATTGGGATCGTGCAATAGGGACGCATTCACATGTAGGCTACAAACGCACATTTTAGTGATGGATTTCATGGAATATCCCTGGACAAGAGAATCCAATCACGTGATTGATGGTAAGAAGCCATTAAGTGAATTGACCAGGAGAGGGAGTGTGACACTGGACATTTTCCCCCCCATTCCTTAGATTACACTATCGACTAAGTACTAACCTCATATCTCTGTTCGCCTTACTTTCGATGGAACGAGACAGCCGTTGTCATACATTCCCGTATGTTAGATGATCCATGAACTTTCACCTTTTTCGTGCGAGCCCCCCCCCCCCCCCCCCCCCNAATGAAGTGACAGCATCTCTATTTTACATTCCCCTCTGCTGATCTAATAAAATATTCTGCTCGGATTCCTCTCCTTTCCCGGGCGATGTTACAGACGAATAAATCTTTTTTTTTTCCCTCGAGTTCAGTGGGTCCGGGAGAGAAGAGGAGATGAGTTCTCGGGAGTACAAAGGCCTTGTTGGTGCCGGAAGGAAGGAAAGGAAGCCTGATAGTCCCACAGGCATGATAAGCGCGAAAACTAGGCAGAAACCATTTTCAGGGCAAGATTTCCTATTCGCCTTCTCTCCTCTCAGACCATGAAGATATTTACCATGCTGTTATTTTGGGGGAGAAACTGCGAAATCCTAGGCTTCTTTAAGGCAGTTGAGACGCGAATAATCCAGTGCCTCATTTAAAGGCAATGGAAAATTTGTCATCTGACTTCTACGTCGTCCTCATTTCTCCCTTCTCCCAGAAGCAGTGCGAATTCTCGGAAATTCGTGAGAGGGATCGATAACCAAAAGTACTCCCTTTCGAAGTCGTAATGGAAGGGGCTGATGGAACTGCGACCAGAGTGGAAGATCCAAGAAATTCCCCAAAACTTTTTGGGCCTGACGAACGGGCTGCAGTTGTCTTGATGTCTTGGGCCTCTTCCTCTCATTTCCCACAGAGGCCAATTATTGGATTCGACTGCCGATTTTTTTGTCTCCCCCCTTTCTCTATTCTTCTTCTTTTCCTGTCGTGCCTTATTTCGTTCCTTCCAGTCCAGCTGGCTCTCCCATCAAGCTGCTAGGATCATCAGTTCTCTCCCGCCTACCCAGCAACAGATATAAGCAGCTAACGAGTAATTGACATTATGCTTTAATACAAAGTCGGATCGGATTAACTTTTCCTATCGTCGGCATAATTCTCTTGAGAACATCTGCAAATGAAGATACAAAGAATTCAATCAAAATGGAACAGGAAAAACAGTTTTCATTTGGCATGTATATCATTTCGATTTTCACTTGATGTTATTTCTTGCAGTTCGTCAGGCGAAGAATCTGATCCCGATGGACCCGAACGGATTGAGTGATCCATACGTGAAGCTAAAACTCATCCCAGACACAGATTCAGTGAAGAAAAAGACGAAGACCATCCGATCCTGCCTCAATCCTGTCTGGAATGAGACCCTCGAGTTGTGAGTTCCGTTTCGTTTTAAATTGCCATCACATTTTCAGGAAGAAATTGGGAAGCATATGAGTTCGAAGATAGAGTTTCAGGATGAGATTCAGTACATTTCAGAACCTAACCTGGAAAAACATAGTCAATTCGAAGGTGTGAAATATTCAGGGGTTCTCAATGATCCGTGCGTTCACGTTGTGAGGTTGAACGCCAGTAATTCGTAAGCTGTAGTATCCCAGGTCGTACCACGATATAGGGGCTTCAGTTAAGTGAGGGTGACATACCCCAATAAACAAAACACGTTAGGCTCAGGAGTTCTATACTGGTCGGTCGTCGTCTAAGATAATCAGGACTGCGATAGTTGTTGTGTTCAGGGATGACTGTCGATAAGCTGGCTGGGAAATCCGATGTTGCTGGATGCGTTTTCCCGCGTTGTTTAGCATTCAGGCCTATCGGTTGACTTGCCATCGGTCATAGCGTATCTTTGGCACAATGCCGGACAGACCAGGTGCGAAACCAAGGCTTAAACGCTCTTCTCAACGGACTTGGAACGTTCCAACACTCGGGAGTAAAGAGTCAAAGCTTGCGGAAGAGGCTAATAAGAGACGACTAGATATAGCGGACCTGACCTTGAACAAAATAAAAGGCACGGGTTCCACCACCTTACCACGCCTTACCCCTCTCCTGAAGTGGAGTCGACCCAACCGTGTTAAACCAGACTGGAATATAGGGATACTCACGGCTGACTACCACCGTGATCGAATGGAAACAGATTGGCGAACGGGTTGCTTTGATCCGCCTCAGACCAAAGCGAGTCCTTGGTCTTGGCTGCCCATCAGATCTACAGGTCGAACAGCGAGTGGGATTATGATGTCGTTCCCTGAAGGTAGACTTCAATGCGTGAGTTGGAAAAGGCAAAGCTATATCGAATGAAGTGATGGATCGGTTTGGAAGAGCCACACACGATGGGAATGGTTAAAAGTTGCTCGACTTCTGTGTTGGCAGTGGTCTCACCATGGCGAATACTACCAGCACATCGATATTCTCAAATATACCTGGGCTGACAGTCGGACTGAAACTGTGCTAGCAATCCCTGCTTTATTTGATCGTTTCGATGGACTTGTGAGACCTCGTGATGGATGTAAGTGTGAAGCGTGGGACTGAGATCACCACCTGGCAGTCAGCAAGCTCCAGATATGGGCGTACCTCAGAACGAGGCAGAAAGCCACGTGTGAAATGGGAAGCCTTTCATTATGAGAAAACTCATGATGAGTTGGCAAGGGTAATCGGCGAGAAGTATGCCCTTCTGCCACCTCAGACTTCTGACAGAACGACTGAATGAGATCTATTTTGGTCTAAAGCTGTTTTTTTTTTTTTTGGCTGCAGCTGCGAAAGTATATGACGAAAAGCTTATCAGGGTGAGTAACCCCAGGCGGATACAAGCTGCCTTAATGAGGTTGTCGATGGTCAATGTCACGCGCCGTGTTAGGATGCATAGTGCCACATCTATGAGAGCCACAAGGTCAAGCAGCTACTTTTCCGGTTCGAGAGATCCCGAGTCCAGGCCCGTTTCTGCTGCATGCTCCCCGAGAGACTCCTGAAAAAAAAGTATATTACTCCAAGACGAGCGGTAGAAGGGCAGTCGGTACTCCTTGTACAAGTTGAAACGACTGCGTTGAGCTTTGCCACGATTCAGCATCCTACCTGCTGAGCTCGAGTCCGTTGACAAGCATCGGGAACATTAGAAGACGCTCCCGGACCTGTTCCAACTACATTAATTTTGGATGGACGGTGACTAAAATGTGCGCATGAAATGTGAAAACGGAGTGAAAACGCGTGTAAGGTGATGGGAACGGTCCACGAGGGAAGAACTTTAAGTTCATTAGGGATGTCGTGTGTTCATTAGGACCTCTTCCTCTAATTCCACGCCATTGTATTTTCTGTCTCTCCCTCACCCACGCCTGTCCTTTGTGACTTCCTATTCCTCTATCCCATTTTCCTTTTCTTCTCCTCAGCTCCATCCCATTTGTTCGAAACTGGTATACGTATCCAGTTCTGTCTGTTTGAAGGACACTGGCATTCTTATCAAGTGCGTGGCCTCTTAAAAATTAATTGGATTACTTTTTACCCCTCATCGGGTCTCTGTTAGCTTGGGGAAACTTCTAATTCAACAGGGGTTTTGATGCATGTTGAAGCTCATTCTGAAGTGTATAGGTCACTAATGCAAATCTGACGCTTCTCCTTGCAAAGAAGAAACCCCAAAACGATCAACAGTTATGCCAACCATTTTTTTAAATTATTCTTTGATCAGTGGAATATACACAGATCGTGAGAGGAAGAGTTCAGAGAATGTTGACCCAAACATCAGACTCTTTCGTTGATATGCAGTAGGTCCCATTCAGCTATCATTTATTTCATTCCATAATTGGTTTTTCAAAGAATTCGCTTAACTCGTGTTGATTCGATTAAGTGCCGCCATGAAAGGAAGTCAAATTGAGCTCTGACGGTCTGGTGGAGATCATCCTTTAGTTTCATAGGGAGCTCATATGCGATGGATGCGAAGCCTCCTCAATGAAAATGAAAAACGAATGCAATGAAGTGCAGCTTCCAATTTTGTCTCGTGTCCGAAAATAAAAAAATGCAAACTTATTTAGCATCCCTTAATACATGAATGCATGTCCTGGGTGGTTATAAAATCCTGGCAAATATGAAATTTTCCTGCACTAGTACATGGTACCCTAAGATAGTGATGCGCACATGTATGAGCAAGGGAAGCTGTGTTTTTTTTTTTATTTGCATTTAGTATTCAAACCGTTAAGTAATTGACTGGCTTTGTAAGCAGGGCTGGATTTGATGGGAAAGCTTATGGAAACGGGGTTCTCGCTTTCGAATATGCCCAACAAACTGTTACCTGTGAAGTATTCACGGCTTCCTGAGGCCAATGGAATTCCACCCCATGGCATTTAAATGAGGCACGCCCTTCGAATTTGGATTACCCAAGTGTGTAGGATGAAAAATCGAGGATGCCTCTAGTCATCAGAGGCCCTGAGTCCTGTAGATAAGACCTTCACAGGGTACAGACCGGCCCGATCGACTCGACTCGACTCGAAGAGCGGGTCGGGCCGTGGAGCTCTTTCGGGTCGGGTCGGAAAAATCGGCCCGAGTAAGCCTCTAATGGACAGATAGACGTCGGCTACTATCACGCAAATGCGTGGCCAAGGTGCGTATCAAATGTGAATGCATGGGAGGAGAATTTTATGCTGGTCGTAATAGGAAGCAATGGTATAGGGCAAAAAAAAAGACACCGCATTATGCCCCTATTCACGGTCCACTCTCTTTACTCTTACCTCCTCTCTATCCCAAGTCAATGCCAGCGCGTTTATAAAGGATGGAGGACATGGAGGTTTCGCAATTCGCCCTGTCCTGTAAAAAAGAAATACCTAATTATTTCCCTTCAGTTTGATGCCATCTATTGAGTATCCTCTACCATCAGCAATTGAATGTTACTTATCTGAGTTGCAACTAAAAAAGCTTAAATTTTCCCGGAATGTGCACTCTCTGACCACTTATGTTGCACATGAATTGCGCGAGTGCACCTGTCTCCCGTAGCTAACCTGTACTTCTTGGACATAACGTTGATTAATCGTTGATAAACTACTTAAATGTTGGCAGTTAATACAACTCCAATGCTTCCTTTATTCATACGTGTATGATTAAGCGTCTTGAGTTGCCTAGTATTAGCACAGAGGAGGAAAAAGTACTTGTTCAACTTTGTGACCATCCTGTATGTCTGCACAGGTGCACAACGCAATGCCGAAAGTAAGAGTGCCGATATGTGATCGCTACGAAAACCCAAGGAAACATTTTCATCTGAATAAATATTGAATCCTCCAGATTGTCGAACGTTTGATGGTCATCTAATCCCCTAAAAAAAATGTTGGAAATGCCGAAAACACAGACGGATCGGGCGGTGACTGCAAAATGAAGACTGTCGTCCCGTTGAGACTTATCGATCAAGCCTTTATGTGAAACTGAAGAAAATCATAATCTTATCGTATTTGAGGGCAGTCGCTCACAGTGCGCGGCCGGGAATGTTCAGAGTGGCCATAATTTTCCAACCCTAATTAATACCTTTTTCGAAGAAAATGATGAAAATTAAATCAGTCACAACGGATTGAGGAACTCTTCCAACACTTGCTTCTATTAGAGCATCGACCTTGAATGGATTCGGATTAAGAAAGGAAATATCCCCTTGGCGTTTGACCTTGAGCATTTTATGCTTCATCATTTTTGCTTATAGTCATATGAGACATTCTACATGCAATTAAGCATAATGGCATTCGGCCAAAAGGAATCCGGCATTTCGTCGCGCACTGATCTGAATACCAAATCGTCTTTCCTCCATGCCGCGCCAGGATTTATTAGATTTCCTAGTAAAGTTGCAGCTTGAATTCTAGATTCCCGGTTTTTTTTTCATTTCGGCTTTAATAATGTGAGACAAGTCTATTGGAAAAATACGAAGACCAAAGTAAAACAAAATGAAATAAAAATAAATGGAACCTGGTCAATTAGAGTGACCATAAGAAAACATGGTAATGATTCTATTTGCCTAAAGTATGGTCAAATATGGGGTTAACCAAGAGGAAGGATGGTCATGAATCTGCTTGACCACCATGAAAGAAGCTCATGAATCACGTTGACCACCAGGAAAGAGCTTCATGAATCGTGCTGTCAGCCATGAAGGACCGACAACGCGGGACTTGGAAAAGATGGTGATGTAAGCCGGGCATTCTCTTTTCAATGGTCCATCCTCTTGCAGAGGGGATACAGGAAATTGCGTGATTCCTGCCCTTTATTGACATCTGTCACGGAAACACCCTGCTCCCTTCTGAAAATTTCCCAGGGATAGGGTTAAGCCTGCTCTCCTGTGAATTATTGAATAGCGTCCCCCAATGAAGATCTATGGGATCCGAGCTAGACAAGGTTTTTCCACCCTTTTCCTTCTCCGCTAGAGAT